GTACGGGAAAAGTGGTGGCCACTTCCCCACCACCTCTCAGAAGAGGTCTGTAAGGAGATAGAGAAGATGCTGGAACAAGGGGTCATACGGCCATCCAGGAGACCCATGGCAGAGCCCTTTGGTTCCAGTACTCAAGCAAGACGGATCCCTGTGGCTGTGCGTCAGTGACAGGCATTTGAATGTAATGGCCATCTTTGACGCATTCCCTATGCCTCACGTGGGTGAACTGGTGGAACATATTGGGAATGCTCAATATATTACAACACTTGATCTTGCGAAGGGGTACTGGCAGATCCCCGTGGCCAAAGACAGCTTTCAGGACCCCTTGGGGACTCTACAAATTTATTCAAATGCCATTCGGGGTCCACGGGGCAGCCACAACATTCCAGCCCCTAATGGACCAGACCTTAGCGCCACACGTTGAATATGCTGTGGATTATATAGACAACATTGTCATATTTTCTCAAACCTGGGTGCAGCATAAAAGAGCCCTCAAGACCATTCTGTCAGAATTACAGAAGACAAGATTGACAGCCAATCCCCGTAAGTGCACCCTGGCTCAAAAGGAAACTAAATATCTGGGGGTTTTGGTTGGAAGAGGTGCAATCAGACCATTGGCAGACAAAGTGGAGACGATCTGCAACTTCACCACACCCTGGAATTGCAGACAGCTCAGATCTTTCCACACTTGCCAAACTGCCATGGGAATGAAGAAACTTGAGACCGTGCCAGGGTCTGCTGCCTAGATCCATCATGACACGTGAGTGGAAAGGGGTTGGATAGGGGGGTGGAGGATCCCTACAGAAGACATGCCAAGGGAGGTGCTCCTGAGCCCTTAAAGCAACCACTGAGCACCACCTCCAGAGAGACATTGTAGGACAACAGGTCATGATGGGCAAATAGGCTCAGGTGCGGTGCAGCCCAGGTGGCAGGTGCACACTGTGGGCCTGTCACAATGATCAAATGGGGCTACTGTAATAACGTGAATACATGCAAGTGTGGTGAAGCACAGACCATGGATCACCTGCTTGTTTGCTAACTCCTTGGAGAGATCTCACTGCAGCAATGGAAAGAGCCATCACTTGGACATGATTCTGAAAAACCATCTAGTCTATGACAAAGACACAAGAACCAGCAGCAGCAACCTGAAAGACATCTTGTACTAATCAGGTTCTGTAGACAGTATACACCTGTGAGGCATTAACAGGATCATCCAATTGGTCCCATCTTATTGGTACGTTTTTAAAACCCGGCAACTAGTAGTGTTATAACTCTGGTGCCAACTTAGCACAGTTATAGAAAAAAAACTTTATTCTTACAAATACAGGAAATATTAATGCATAAATGCAGATTACTGATTATGACAAAAGCCAATAAGCGTAAAGGAAGCATAACTTAAATGAAGCAGCAAAGCTAATGACCAGAGATATCCCATTAAAACCTCTGTCAGTGCTACCAAGATTAGGAGAGTATTTAGTGAAGTCATGGCTGGCACTTCTCCCCTGAAGATAAAAACCAAATGAGGAAAAATCTAATAATTTTGAGAACTTAAGACATTTCCATTTTACCAGAGACTCCCCCAAACTTAAAAGTATGACAGATGACATGAACTTCTGCACTTCCTTCTGAAACAGTTGCATTAAAGACAGCAGGGACACAGCCTTCTTACTTAGTCTATGCCACACAGCCTTCTTACTTAGTCTATGCCAGTGGTCACAATACTTCAGTACTTTCCCACTGGCTTCCTTCAGTCCGGAAACACTTGAATCCAACTCCTGACGTTGTGGCTCAGAGTACACTGACAGCTCCAGAATACTAGCAAGCTAGACTGGTCATGACAAAGAACTATTTCTACATCTAGGGCAACAGATCAATGTGTGCTGGAGTGATTCGAATTGCAAAGTCATATGAAAACTCTCCAATACATGAAAAAAAAATTACTCTGTAACATACTGGAGACAGCAATGAATGCACTACCAGTCGTGCTCAACCTCCAGCTCACAGAGCCATGTCATCTGGCCCACAGGTTTGCAAATTTGGTGACGAGGGTGTGGTGGCAATTAATGCTGCCACTGCTTCCTTGTCACCAACTTCACAAACCCTGCAGACAGATGACATGGCCCCTTGCACTGGATGGGGCTGGGGCATAGGGCCAGACTAGCGGCGCCAATCCTGGGGCTGGAGTTGGGGCAGCAGGCCAAATCTGGTGTACCCAGGACCAACATGATGGCCCAATCCTAAGTATGGGCCTGGGACTGGATCCAGCTCATAGATTCCCACACAACTCATTTGGCCCACAGCCCAGAAAGGTTGGGCACCACTGTCTACCAGCAAGAGAAGCCTCATGCCAGACACCACAGATATTACAGGAGAGGCACAGAAACAAATTCAGCTCCAGCACAACTGCAGCACAGGGCTTCAGAACAGTCATACACTGCAAATTACCAGATTCTGCCTGTGAATTCTGCCACTGTGCTTTGTTCCTTTGCTGCCACGCCCCCCAGGCAAGATGGTAGGGAGGATTCTTTCCCATTGCTTACTGTGAAATAATTAACAAACACTCATTAATTGCCTATGACAAGCTGCCTGGAGTTGCTGGCCTTTCTGTTGTGTGTGAAGGCTTGAAGTGATGATCTTGAAGAATCCTCAGGGATCTTTGGCTGGCTGAATGCAGGGGATTCACAGAAGTTTAGGGCTGGAAGGGACCTCTTGAGATCATTGGGTCCAGCCCCCCTGCTCTAAGCAGGAAAGACTGCTGGGGTCAAATAACCCCAGCAAGGTGTGCGTCCAGTCTCCTGTTGAAGATCTCCAAGATGCGACTCAACAGCCCAGGAGACCCCTTCCACTCTTATATTCCTATTTTCTGTGACAAATCCCTAATACTGCTTTGAAAACAGAAAGCATAATTTAAGTTCTAAGCCTGTACTGGAACCCAAAGGCATGTATGTGGCATTTTATACTTGGAAGTGAAGATTTTGCTGCACAGAATCACATTTCTGCTTTCCATACTTTTAATTGTTTTATCCATTTCTTTCCAAAACCCATTCACAACACTGCAAACAGTCGTGAAGTTAACTGCTAACACTCCTGCCCAGTCACATGTGGTACATGTGCTAACAACAAAAATGAAGTTACAGCTTTGCAGTTGCATCCTTTTTGTCTTTTCGAGCCACAAACTTTGCTACACATGTGTATCCTGCTCAGGGCTCCTTTCCAAACACATGCAGTCACTGCTATGAGAGAGAGAATTCTACCTCTTCCTAAGTTTTCTCAAGATGTGCTTTAAAAAAAAATAGGCGGGGATTTTTTAGATTGTTTTGCTTGTGATTGACTACTATAAACCCATACTGTGACTGCACTTAGTAAAATAAATCATCTTATCTACAGCTACGTGACCTCAGTGCTCTCCTCCTCTGTAAGTTGAAGTTTGCTGCAGTAAATGGCACAACCGCCCTTTCACATTCCAATTCATTTCTGACCTTTGATCTGTGTATATTGTCTCTAGATGCAGACAAAATGGGAGAGAAGATAAAAGAAACACACTCCAACCCTACAGCAAGCAACAAGACAGTCTAAAAACACCCTTCATAGAAATCACCACTGGAGATTTGTATGCATCTATTTAGTGCGGGGACCAGAAACAAAAATATTCTAGCATATCTAGACACTGGATTTATGACACATTATAACCTGCCTGACATCTGATTCCCCAGGTACCTCTCCACTATTTACCAGCTACATTCATCCCCCTTTTGCTCCCCAGCCTGCCTCTCACCCACTGACTCCTCAATTTACATCTTCACTGGCTGGCTGTCTTGCATGCCTACAAACCTCTGGCTTCTTTACTATTCGTTCCATCCAGGAAGAGCACACACCAACTGCAGGTGCTTCCTCAGCCTGACAAAGGGTATCTGTACCCGAAAGTTTGCAAAGAAGAATTTTTCCAATTATCAGAGTTAGTCTAATAAAAGAGATCAGATTTACCCAAAGAACCTTGTCTGTCTAGCATACCTATGCATTTAAAAGCCATAGCATTCATCACTTACATGTGTACTTTGAGGTCAGACTATACCCCTGTTTGTTGGCTTAGAAAGAGTTTATCTGGTAGTCAAAGATTAAAAGCATGATTTGAAGCAAGGAAAGCAAATACAGTACATGTATCTTTGCTGCAAAGACAAGCAGGGAAATAATGACTGCAAGAAAGGAAGATTATTAAATAACAAAAGCACGGGGACACAGACTCCACCAAGCAGAGCACACTGGACAGTGCCCACTGGCTCTCGGACGAGCCCAAGGGGCCAGTGAAATGCTGCCCACCAGAGCCAGGACAGTCACTAGGGTGCCCCAGGGCATGACAAAGGATGCTGGGCAGGACGGGACCCAGCACAGAGCCCCTCGTACGACGCCGCGCTTACGCACTCTACGTTTTAGACCGCAGCAGACAATCATTTTGGGGGGGGGGGCAGACATTTCCCCTAAAAACACAACACTGCTTGCTAGACCCTTCCGCCTGAACCGCGCCCGGCCCTGCAGGAGCCTGCACAGCCCCAGCCCCGGGGACAGAGGCAGGAAAGTGACTCGTGAGCCAGAGCCGTGAGGCGACAGCCCAAGCCTGGGGCAGGGGCGGAGAAAAGGCAGGGGCAGGCAGTTCCCGGTCCTGCCCCGGCCCCCTGCTCTCTCTGCGGGCAGCCCCGCGCCCCGGTCCTGTCCGTGGCTGCGCTGGGATCCCGGGATACAGGCTCGGAGGAGCAGATCCCGCTCGCACCGGCCCGTCCTTACCTGCCCGCACCCAGCGAATACCCCACGCGGCCGCCGGTACAGAGCCACTGACTGCTAACCACGGCCACGCCCTCGTGGCCACGCCCCGTATTGAGACGCCCCGCCCCCGGCACAGCCCGCCCGCCCCTCCCCGTCGCTCTCGCGTTCTGGCCCTTCCCACTCCCCGTAGCCGAGCCTCAATCTGGCCTCGGCAGCCAATGGAGGAGAAGTAGCGTTGCTGGCTGCTTCCGGAACGGATGCGAGTGATCGTTTCCGGGTGGGAGGTGATGCTGCTGTCTGATATGGTGGCGGTGTGGCTGTGTGTGTGCAGGCTGATCCGGTGCGGCTCTCCCGGGCGACCGCGACCGCTCCCCTCCCCTCGCCTCCAGCTGCGGGGGGGCTGCGCGCGGAGCGGCGGGGACCT